GCAAATAGAGGAATTGTGGGTTGTGTGTGCTTTTAAAAGCAGAAAATGGAGCTACGTTATTGGTGGGAACATGGCAACGAGAAAAACACGAATAAATTAGTGGAATGAAAAGCGTTCGTTGATCCCTGTGGGATTTTAGACTGCCGGTTTGAAAGATGAGCTTTTGTTCAATTGTATATACATCTATATATTTATATTTATTCACTTATTCAAACAAAAACCCGTCATGACGTCCAATTATTGAAGCGATCAAAAATAATCGTTGAAGTTAATTTTGACTTTCTGTTTTGTCTCGCGATGGAATACATTTTAAAATGAGCTACGTTTTGCATAAAACAGCGCTGAGGTAGTTAAGGACGATATAAACATTATGGCAGATCCATTATGAGCCAATCGACATAGAGAGAGATCTAGGTTGGTAAGCAGAAACAATTCGTACCCTAACAATATTTTTAATCATAGGATTTGCTGGAGCTGGTGAATCCAACTTCGATACGATGCGAAAACGGTGTTTTGTGCAAACTATGCATTTAAAAATTGAACTAGTTACCTTAATCGAAAACATCACAAAAGAAACGAACAGTATTATTTTTTGCCACTGGGTTACTGTTGCCTTTGAAAATACCCGTAAACAAATATACTTAATTCAAGTTAGTGGGTCGAAAAATATAGTTGGAGATGATATTAAAGCGATTCAGTGAAGAATAGTTAATTAACCTACAAGAAAAACTTGTCTGAGGCATTTTCAATCGATTTTTATGTAGAAATGCAGGGTTTATTCTAGAAGTTCACCTTAGAGAGCCTAGTCGGTCCTTTTTCTCAATTTTGGGGGACCTTTTTCGAGAAAGAGGGCCCAAGAAAGGACGTACCCCAAAAGGTATTTGAACTTAGTAATTGTTGATTGTATTCTGCAAGGAAGAGACAAATAACTGAGGCGGTAAGAGACTTAAAAGTGCCAAGTGCGTTTTATGTAACAGCTGTCATCAGTCTTGTGCTAAGTTATATTTTCGAAAAACTTATTCCAAAAAGTGATTCTTTAAGATAGTGTAATAGTTTTGCACATTTTTTTAGCACCTCTATCGCGCTTAGAATTAAATTTTGTGCGGTTTCAGCTTTCTCGAATTGCGGAAGACCCGAAAAACTTTGCTCAAGAATAAACCTTGTCAATGGAAGAGAGTGACATAAAATTCCCTTCGGTTAAATAGAAGGATTCCTTTTCTTCATTATTATTGTGGAAGACGCAGCAGCTGGATTGGAAGTCAAACAGTTGCTTCATCAGCCAAACACGTTCGTTTAACGAGTAATACGTAGTTTCCAACTTTAAAAAAATTTAGACCACACTCTTCTTCAAACTGTAAGTGATATAACTAAGATACGCACAAAACTGATGGTAACACGGACCATGTTCTCGTCAAAGTTGGTACATTTCGCATTTTCAGACGAAAATGTTCAGAACTTTTTACCTATATTTATATCTGGAAATATGAGCTATCGCCGGCGTCAGTTTTGATATAGATCTTTGTGGTTGGGTTTAATTTCATACGAAAGTAGCTTTGAAATTTTTCTTTGTAAGCTTGGAAATATTTATTCCTTCCAAGCCTACCTGTATTTTTGCTGTTTCCACACGTTCTGGTGAAGCAGAACTTAACTAGCTATCGAAAAGTTGAACTTCTTCGACCAGGTTTAGATGGAGCGTGCATACTGGTCCCATCCTTTTCCCAAGCAGACGCCTGCCTATGGAGATTTTTTTTAGTTCTTCTGATTCTCTGAGGATTTTCTCCAGGTTTTCAGTTTTTCCCCTCCACAGAAAACAACAGTCAAATTTTAATTTCAAATATTTCTTGAAAACGGCACCCACACTGAAAGTAAAGTTCTTCAGAGTCCTCTTGTTTTTCGTAAAGAAAATGATATGATTTTTAAATGAAAACAAAAATGAAATAAATGAAAATAAAAATGATATGATTTTTAAATTTTACTGAAATATCTAACTCAACAGAAAACTCAATGACTTGCTTCTAGAAGTGGCTATTTTTGTCGCTAACTATTTTATCTTTAGTACACTCTTTTCCATCTCAGCTTCTGTCAGACTCGGTACACGTGGTTTTTGAGAGTATTTGCGGGTTTTGTAAACTGCGTTTCGCCAAAAATGCATTTGGTCTTCGTGAAAGAATATATATTTCAACTTGATGCTAGATGTGTACGCAACTGAAAAGCACGGACTGTAGCTTATAGAGGTTCCGTTTTTGTGTCGACCCTCTGCCTATGCGCTTTGTAACATCTATCACATGGCGGCATGAGTGCGGAAAATCCCTGGTCCAAATATGGAAATAGTTTGCAAGCGCCATTAGCGCTGTATCAAGAATTATCTTTATATTTCTATATTTTATGAGCTTTATATGAAGAGTTTCCCTGTAGCACTTTTTTTCATGCATGAATACACCATTCATACGGTACAAAAAAGTCGCAAAATGGTTAACTTACAAAATACAACAAAACAACGAAACGAAAAAAAATATTGACTCCTAACAAAGGTGTATGAAGTGTCATAAGTCTTAGCTAATGATCAAGTGCTTCTAATTTTTTTAATTGAAAGTAGATTTTTTTTTACAATATAAGTTGATTGCAGTGGTCCAGGAGCTTAGAATGTTTGGTATTGAAGACTCTGAATACACCTGTGCTTTGAGAATATCTTTGGGTAAAGTTGAAGTCAACAAAATTTAAACCACCGTAGCATGACTCCTATGCTGAATTTGTGGAACACTACCATCGTTTCAGTTACATTGTAATGTATATTTTTGTCTCAATCTTTGTTATCATTAATTACTCAATCGTTTCCCGTTGTAAATCGCTTTAGTAATTTCTCTTGAAGCGAATGCGGTTTATCCTAGTTTCGTTTCTTATCTGTCACATCTTTATATCCGGGCCATATGCAATTTTTATAACTTTTGGTGAAGCCAAAAACACTTGAAATGTAGTGAAAAGTCGCAAGTAGTTCGAACTAAAAAGGGTTGTAGGTTTAGGATGCGTTTATTTACAATTTTCCTTTACTCTTTTCCTTTGTTTCCATTTACTAGAAAGTTCCCAATTTCCAGCAGGAAGCCATCAAGTACTTAGGTCCAATTTTTAAAGTACCATCTACAAGAAATATTTCAATCCGAGCATTGATCATCCCAGATCAACATTATCTTTATAAAAAAAAGTGATAACTCTACAGAGGCATAATCAATCATTTTCGTTTATTTACAACGCCTTGTAAATAAATTTTAAATTGAAACTGCCGAGCCGTTTGGAATTCACCATAGTAGGTCTTCTTTATGCAATTTTATTTCGTGCCACGCTGGAGAAATTTTATTAAGTTCTAATCTCGACCTAACAGAAGATAAAGTACCTTGACTGCTGGCTAATTGAAAGTTCCTGTATTTAAATCGTTTATCTTAACAGGGCTAAAACACTGACCGAGCTATTACAGTTAGGTGGTGCCTTGGTAGATGAAAGAAGCTTTTACACTTCTGAATCACATTTGGAAAGACCACTTTGAGGTAGGTTCAGTTCGAAGACAAACCTTTGAAATAAGATATGGTAACTATGAAGGAGTTGTAAATTCTAATATTTTTTTCTTTGATATATCTGCATAGCCAGTATCTGCATGTTGTGGCTGCGAATTTCATCAAAGCTCACAAACTTTTTTTCAGAGTACTGCGTTCTTTACATATCGTTCTCTTAAAACTTAAGTTTCACGGAACTTTTCGATAAAAATTTACGAAAAAACTATAACGCCTTGTAAAAATTTTCGTGCTTGTGTGATACGTGGGCACCAAGAGTGTATCAATGCTCGACAGGAAATGTAAATTTCAGGAAATAGAAAGCAAATCTTAAATATTCTGCATTCAGTTTGCCATCATCACAGTTTCTTCCAATCAGCTTATAACGTTACAAAAACTTTGACGCTTCTAAAAGACAAACAGTAGGTGTTTTTAAAGGGTTGGGTAGCAGTTTCAGATGTTCCGACTTGACCACTTTTTCAGGTCTGTGTTACTGTTCATTATCTTGTGAACTAACGATGTTTTAAGGAGTTTCTGATAGATAATTAGTCATTATTAGTAATGAAATCCACTTTTGGTAAAAATAACCTGAAAAAAGAGGAAACCACTCATGCTCACAATGAAACGCACTAAATCCCCTAAGTTATTAGATAAACTACCGCCGTAAGTCGATAAGGCACATAATTTATTTTGTCATTTGTGTCTGAATCTGCTGGCTGCCAAGTACTTATCAAATGGCACTCTTTTCTTCTCTTTAAAACTCAAGAGTCATTAAAAACTCCACTGCTATCATTTCTTCTCCTGTGAAAAGGAGACTTTTGTCGTAGGAATTCGCAGTTAAATTCGTTAGCTTTAAGGAAATTTTAAAAAATAATTCCTCGGCTGGTGTTCTCTTAAAAGCTTAAGTTGAACGAAGAAAACTGAAACCTGAAACCTGCTACATTGTAATTCGTTATTCAAATTGTCTGCTTGTTGAGGTTACCAAGAAGCGGTATTCAAACTGCGATACAGCCTTAGAAAAAAAAAAAAAAACTATCCCTGGTGTTCAGAACCGTTATCGGCAGTATTCAAACAGTGATGGAACCATACAAAAAATAGCGTAAGGCCCGGTGTAGAGAACTGTTACCTGTAAATCATTGCATACGGATCAGCTCTTTACTCAATATATGATATATACCGAAAGGTGGATCGCGTATTACTTTTGTTATTGATGATTTAATAATTTTGAAATGAAGATAAGGTTTTTAAAGACGAGAAAAGTGTAGATGGATTCAGAGTGACTCAATGTGGGGTGTAAACATTTTGCCAGTTCAATCGAATTAATCGAGATGGCGTCGAATCGCTTGGATTTATTTCCTCGATTTTCATCATAAGCTGTAGCAGCAAAGGTCTGTAAACAAATTTACCATCTTTTTTATTTTCTTTACGAACAACACCATCTGCTGTTGATCTTAGCTATATGCAGGACGTCTTTAATATTTGTGCTTCGTAATGGCGTAGTTCATCGAAGGGTCTCTTTGGCTCAGTACTCTTTGGCTGAGTATAGTCCTGGGAAGAAGTGTTGTCGGTAGTGGTACATACATACGTACCTAAATACGTACGTACCTGCGTACACACCTGCGTACATACCTCCGTTTATACGTGCGTACCTACGAACGTGCGTGCGTGCGTATGTACGTTCGTGTAAACGTGCGTACGAGCCCAAATCTTTTTATTGGCTCGATCGAGCTAACTGTAACGCGCTAACTCTATACAACAAGCAAGATAACAGACTACCCAAAGAATTTACTTGCCAAATGAATTTAGTGTACTTAATACAAAATTTAAATTTCACTCATTTGTTCCCATCAAAATTATTGATTGATATCAGTCGACAACTGCGCTCATTGAAGCCAACTGCACCCGTATGGAAATGTTTATGTTTTCTTTATACACTTTTGTAACTGTTAGTGACGACTGACCTTTTGACAATTTAATTTGGATATATCAACAAAGTTGAAATGGTAAATTGGCCACCGTAACGATTACAAAAGCTGACGTTTGGAGCGTTAGCCCTTCGTCGGAGCGTTAGCCCATTCGTCAGCTTTTGATTACATACGTCAGCTTTTGTAATCGTTACGGTGGCCAATTTACCATTTCAACTTTGTTGATATATCCAAATTATTTCGTTAC